AACAACAACAACAACAAGTGGGAATCAACTCTAAGTTATCCCATTATAAGTGGGAATCAACTCTAAGTTATCCCATTATAAGTGGGAATCAACTCTAAGTTATCCCATTATAAGTGGGAATCAACTCTCCAGCAGTGGTTTAGTTGGGTTTGGGTTGGACGAGCTCATCTTCCCATGGGGACTTGGTTTACTGCCTGCTGTTTCTGACTACACTGCCCTCTCTATAGTCCCAGCGGTGACCGCACTGAAGACAGACACCCCTGCCTAAGAGACACCAACCATTTATGACGGTGGTAGAGCCTCACCTTTGTCTGTACCTGGCATTTCCAATTACATTTTCGACCTCTAGTGCTCCCTTAGCTTTATCAATTTTAATGTGAAGAATTGAGTTTTTGTTGCATCTGTCTCTGAAAACATTACTTCCTAAATTGAGATTTGATGTTGTTTGTATGGGTTTGAAAAGGGACTCAGAAAGGGCACCTCCAAGCGCCGAGGGAGGAGTAATCATTTACAGAGGTTCTGATCATTTCTTAGGGACGCACTTCCTACGAGTTTCCTGCAATTTAGGTAGTAGGCGGGTCACAGGTGAGAGAGAGGAAGATGGGACAACCCCATGAACCTCAGAGAGGCCCTAGCAGTAGAAACAAGTCCCACCTTCTCTGTGTTAAGAGGGACCATGGTACTATTGGCTGTTGTACATGCCTGGTCACTTAGCAAGGTCCCACTTCAGTGATTTCAGAAGGAGGTGGTAATTCTCTATCTGGTGGGGCTGATGTTGGATCCTTTTCGGGGACTAGAGGAAGAGGGATGAGATAGTCTTCTATGATTGTGACGCATGCACTGGGGGCCACCGCCACCTGCTGGCAGAGAAACAGCTGCCACCCCTTCACCACCCAAGAGGAGAGAAGAAAATTTTGGCCAGACAGGATTGAGGAGGCTCCCATCTAACCTGCTCCTATTTGGTTTGAAAGCCTCTGGAGAAAAGATTGCCTATTCCTTTCAGCAATGTCACTTGGCACAAATAGTGATCAGGAATACTTTTTGTGTGGACTAAGTGAAGGAGCTCTTGTAGCGAGCGTAGTGGTTACGAATCGGGCTGTGAACCTTAAGGTCAGCAGTTGTTCCATGGGATGAGGTTCTCTGCTGCCATAAAGATTTACAGCCTTGGAAACCCTGTGCAGTGTTCTATGAGTTGGTTCTGACTCCACGGCACACAACCACCAACCTTTGGTGAAGGTTTACAGAGCAAATCAGTTTTCCATTCAACAATTCACACAGACTTCATTTCACATCACTGATTACAGCCCCCTCCCACACTGCGCAGTGGAACATCCCTCCCCCTCCCCTACTTCCTCCCTTTGTTTCTGGGTTCCATTCCTCTTCCTCTCTTCACCCTTCCTGCCCTCTGAAATTTGACCTGGGGCAAACACTGTTCTTTGACCTCACTGGGTGATTGTTCTAAGGAGTGCCTACCTCCCTAGTGTCACTGTTGTTGTTGTGAAGTGTCTGCAGTTGGTTCTGACTCTTAGTGACCCTGAGGAGTGGCTGATGGGTTTGAACCTGCTGACCTGTGGTTAGCAGTCCAGTGCTTACCCTACAGCACCACACCAGTCCACCCGATAGCGCTGTCTACTGTTTGACTGGAGACTGAGCCTAGGTGATGGGTTCAGGTCCAGTCCTGAAGCTTCAGTAACACCCCCAGGCTCGGAGCTGCACCAGTCTTCATCCGACCAGTAAGCCTGAAGGTTTGGACTTTCTAAAATGATTTTTGGTTTGATTCCACATTTTTCTCCAGGGCCTTCTAATATGGTACCTTTTAGAGAGATGGGTATACGTAAGCCCTAAGTCAACTAGTTTTTGTGGAGACGTTTCAAATATTTTCTATAGAAGTATCCTTATGCACATGAAGTCTTTAGTTGGCAATCAACCTTGGGCTTCTGAAATAAGCCTTACCAGGATTCTCTTTCTCCTTGGACTCTGTTGGTCTGATACTGATGGCTGCTTGAGGAGGACCGTAGAGAACTGAGGTATCTCAGGGGATGCTCTGGTGGGGTGAAGAGACAGGTAGAGGCTGAGACCCCATCCCTACTCCAACCAGAGTAGCTGAGGATTTCATCTTTATAGGTTGGAGTTTCATGTTGAATTTTATTTCATTTGGTTTTAAAGCAGTTTTACTGAAGTACAATTCACATACGCTATACAGCACTGTGTGTCGCTGTGGACTAATGCTCCAGACTACAAAGTCGTTTAAACTACAAAGTTGGTGGTTCAAGCTCACCAGCTGCTCCTTGGAAACCCTATACAGGGTCACTATGGGTCGGAATTGACTGGACAACACTTAACAACAACAACATATAGCACACAAGGAGCTCTGGTAGTGTAGGGGTTATGAGTCAGGCTGTTAACCTCAAGGTCAGCAGTTCGAAACTACCAGCTGTTCCACAGGAGAAAGATGAGGCTTTCTGCTCCCATAAAGATTTACAGCCTCGGAAACCCTGTACAGGGTCGCTGTGAGTCAGAACTGACTCCATGGTACATAACCACCACCATACTGCACATATTTAATGTGTA